TAACTCCTCTGGTGTACAGCAAAAGAAGCCAAGAACAGAAACTACTCAGAAAAGATAAGGAGAAGTGATTGCTGAGCACAAATATCTCAAGACTAGTAATTTTAAAATGTTCCTAACTATGAGAGTGCTAAGGCTGTGGTACCATCTAAGAGTACAAAGGATCAGCAGCTGAGCTGATCTTATGACTGACATATAAGTTCATGAAAGGAGCATAAAAATGCTTCTGGCAATTGCAGGGAACAAAGGTCTCTCCCAGTCAACTGCTCTTATTTGGAAGAAGAGCAGATTTGTGAATGGAAATCAGAAGAGAAGTTTCCAACAGCAGTGTTGTACACATAGGTTATCTGTTACACTGCTGGAACTTTCCTGCCATGGTACTAAGCAGGCAAAACTGTGACTCAGTTAGACATCCTCACTTATTAGTAAATGCAACTCTCTTTGATAAGAGGACCCTGATGTTTATCCACACACTTTCCAAAAGGCAAAAACATCTACAGGCAGTTAGGAATTTGTTGACATGTTGTGAGTTCATAAGCTGACTCGTCTTCAGTAATTTATTTCAGTCCTTGTGTAACACATCCTGTTTACATTCCAGTGTTTCACCACGTGGAAGTGCTGGTGTTTTTAAAGCAGAACAGTCCTCCTGGCTGGGTTCATAAAAACACAGGCTGTGCCTTTGTATTTTTTGTTTTGTGGGGGTGAGCTGAACTATCAAAGCTCAGTAAAAAGGTTAAGCAAACACAATTGGGTCCCAGGTATGGATTTTTACCTGTGTAATTGTTTCAGAGTAAAGGTATATCCTTTACTGTGATGTATGAGTACAAAACCACATCCTGTGAACTGGCTAACTTCATTTTTAGTGAAAACTGAAAGAGATAGGAGCATCTCTCCATGTTCTTACGCCAGTGCTTACCCCATCAGGGTAAGATTGATCCTATGTCTTTGGAAACACTGAACTAGTGACTCAATACTAGACCTTGAAGTTTTGCAACAGTCGTGGTTTTGCAACATTGGTATGAGGATGAGCCTAATAAATCCCAAGCATTGCTTCAGTGTAACTTAGGCTACATTCCCTTTAGCACAGTATTTTGAGAAACGTGTGTCTCTGATTAATGTTTTAACATTCAGTTGCTCTTTTTTAAGTTGGGTTCAGGGATTCTCAAGCAAGAACTTTGGCTTTATCAACAATCAAACTGTCTGCTACCCTTGTGGTAATTACGTCCTCTTCCTGGACATCGAAACGAAGAAGACGAGAGCTCTGCAGTGTCAGAATGGCCAGGTGGGAGCCTTTGCAGCCAATGGCAACAGTCAAGTGCTGGCCTTTTCCAACAGGAAGCTGAACCCCATCATATACATCTACAGTTTTCCAGGGCTGAGTAAACTGACAGAATTAAAAGGTAGTGATGTGGTAACCCTCTTCATCACCATTTCATTAAACTGATATTTTAGTCACCCAGTTTCTGAAGGGTTTTTTTCCTATAAGACTTGAAAAGCAGTGTGACAAGATTCATGGAAAGCAGTAGAAGGAATTTTCCCCTGAACTACTTTTAGTTAGGCTCAAGCTAGGGAGGAATATGACAATTCATAATGAAGCTGATGTAAAGGGAAAATAAAAAGGAATGAAATGGATTTCATTTTGAGAAAATATAGTCCAAATAAGCAACAAACCATACTGCAGTAGGCTCCCAAGCAGACTGCTGAAATCCACATTGAGAAATCCAAGATGTGAGAGGAATGAGGGTTCCTGCAGTTAGACTGTGGAGTCTGGGATTTAATGTATATTTTTGCCTGCCTCATAACATTTCTCTCCTTAGTCAACTTGCTTACCCTATCCATGTTTCATTTCCCTTGCCATTTAAATGGGGCATCATACTACTTGCTTATTTCATGTATATGAATGAAATTATGACTGCAAAGGATTTCAAGATACTTGGAGAAAAATACTTTACAAAATCAGGATATTATTGAAAAAAGAATTGAAAAAAATCTGAGCAGTGATGCAGAGGGAACATTTTTATGATCAAACCAAAAGAATAATCTGAAGTGAAGCAAAGAAATCATAGGGTGTGAAGAATGTCTTTGAGGAATTAAAGTGGATATAAAGGAAGTGTGAAGAGTATCTCTGGTAATATACAATAAAGTCTGGGGCAACGAAAGACCATGTTCTGTGTTTTTACATTTCAGGTAAAGTGCAGCTGGACTACACCTTACTTGCTTTCAGTTTCACAGGCCCTTATCTAGCCAGTTACTCTTCCGTCCCAGAATTTGTTCTTTCAGTATGGTAAGAGCAAAAGAAGAATTTTCTAATACCACTTAATTAATATGTTTGTACGTGCGCTGTTTTAGCACAGATTAAGTTAACAACTGTGGAACACACACTGGTTGCCTTGGTCTTCTTTTTTTTTTTTTCTGATTGATCATTGTCTGCAAACTTTCTGTACCAAAACTGCTGTTTGTTTTCTAGCATTAGTAGCCACTAGTGAAAATGGCTGTTAACTTTGCCACAGCTGTCTTCTACCTTCTTCCAAGTTTTCTGTTTTGGAGTACTTCTAAGGTCTTCAGCATCAGTTAATTATCTGTTCACTGCTGGAAGTTGAGCACCATGCTGTTTGTGGAAGAAAGTTGCTGCTGAAAAGAGGAAAAGATTTCTAAAGCCAATTTGTACTGTTTTGTCCCCCTGGACCATTCAGTGGTCCTCTTAATTACTTTTGTTTGATCTTAGTTCTGGCTTATAATTTTGCTCGGTGATTACACTAACATGAATCACTGGGTTAAATCATCATTTTCTGCTCATTGTCGTGAAAAATATTATATAATACAGTGCAGATACAGAAAGTTAGAATATTTGACTTTTTTAATTGCACTGTAAGAATACAATCTTGTTCTTGCCTTCATTGCCTGCAAGCTCCGACTGACTGTGGAGCCTGTGCATGTGAAAACAAATGGGGAAGGTGGAGTAGGAGGAAAGCATGCAAGGGCATGTAAGGAATATTCTGTATAGTCCCAATTTAATGATGATTTTTTTTGTACAATGATTACTGAGGATGCAGAAACTGCTGTAACTTCAGCATTTTAGTAATGATAGTAGGTACTATTAAGATGCCTCTTTATCCCTTATGAAGAAGAATAATTGTTTGCTGAGAACTCCGATCAAACACACTAGTTCAGGATGTGTGTGTGTGTGTGTCTCCCAGTAGAAACCAACCAGACAGCCTCACAGGCCTGAAGAGATGTCATGCTTGTCACTTACAGCAGAAATAACACATGTAAATCATGGAATCATAGATGGTCCAGTATGTTCATTGTGTACACTTAAACAAAAATCCATCATCTTGAAAGACTTCTCTAGATCATTCTTAAAAATGGAAATACCTAGAAATGTTTAAATGCTTTAAGGTATTGGCAATTTCCAAAGCCAAACAATTTTAACCAGTTCAAATCAGTGTGTTACAACTATCAGCAGCTAATGGTCATAAAAAATAATCCTAGATTCTAGTCAGAAAGAATTTAGTAGCAAAATACAATTACCTTACAATGTTAGACTTAGAATTTATAGTAACTTGAACAGAGAGGTTCAATTTACTGTGCAATTAGTAAATAGCAACTGGATTGTATTCTGCATTCATTGTGTGTGTACAGATGACAGAAACCTCAATGTTTAGCATTCTTGAGGTGTTATGACTATATGACAACCTCACAGTTCCTGTATTTTAAGCAGCAAGTGTGAAATCAGGGGTATAAGAGATGTTTGGAAAGTTACGCCAGTCTCAAAATATAGAAAGCTTATGGATAGCTACAAGCTGCCTTTCATCTGAGATATTTTATCCCTAGATCTTTATTCTTTTCTGTTCAAAGGAGAGGCTTAATGCCAGATTGTTTTTCAGATACACGAACCATATAGTTTCAGATCTTAGTAAATTATCTACTGTAAAAGAGTGTTGGCATTATCAGTTAGGTATGAGACATGAACATGCTGATGGATATTTAGAAAGAAAGCCACACTGGTATCTTTAAAAGTCAGAATTGTAGCTTGTAGCTTCCTGTAATTTTAATGAGGGTTACTGTGTATGTGTGAATATTTCTCATTTTCCACATGTGCTATCAGTGCTAACCATTGTCTTGTATCCTGATCCGTTTCTGTGAGTGAATTTATTACAGGCTAGAATAACTGGATTATACTAAATCCATTTACAGCAATGTATGCATTCTAGATTTTTCCTCTCAGCAGTAATGACAAATACTAAAGCTAAAAATGTTGTTTAGATTAACAGCCAGATATAAAGTAGACAGTTTTAACTGTCTACTTCGAATTACGTTTATCAGTTTTTGGACAGCACCTAAAAATGCAAATGCAATCAGGAATTAATCTGGATAATGGAGATATATGCAAATTAGATTAGTATAACCTATAGAATAGGTCATATTAATCCAGTATAAAATAGGTCATACTGGACAAAAGGAAAGTCAGTGGAAAGCAGATTCCCAGGCTTCTGTCAGCCCCACACAAATTCTGCCCTGGTTTGTGCTCAAGTTAGTTAACACAGCCATAAATTGTACATCACAACACAATTACTGTATTACCTAAGTACTTCATCCATAGATAATCATGGGCTGACTGTGTTGTATTTTCTAATTATAATACCTTCGAGCTGCAAATATTATAGCTATTATGTTATGGATTGAAAAAGCAAGGCTGGAGTGCTGAAGCGTGAATTGTTTGGGCCCATTTGAGTAGCCACTGATGGAACTGCTGAAAAAAAATCCTTTTCTGTTGACTCTCTCGGTCTTTTCATAAAAGCAAGTGCACGATAATGTTTCTAAAATGTCAGTTATTCAATCATTTTCTAGCAGTAATAATTTTATGCATGGCTAATTAACCACATCCTTTTCACTCTCAAGAGGACCTAATCTGTTTGAGGGCAGAAATTTTTCGTCATTTTTTCCAAACTTTATCGTGAACATCAGTCATAATCACATCCAGATCTTTGGCTTGAGTGGTTTTTTTACTTGTTTAATGGATTTAATTTTCTTTTACTCTTCTTAATGAAGGAACTGGCAAGAAAATCTCCTCCTGTGCAGCAAGTCTCAGCCGGGGATAACAGCGACCTCTTTGAGTTTTAACCCTATGAATTGGCAGCAACTGTGCTTTGTTAATGAGAGCTCTGTTACCATCTGGCATATTGAAAGGAATAATGATGAGCATTACCTTAAGCAACAGTAAGTGGAACACCCTTCAGGTTGAGAGTTACATCTAGAAGTATATTTTAATAACTAAGACTAGCAACACACATCTATTTGCAAAGGATTTAGTCCCATTTACTTCACCTAGCAGTTGCAATCAGTAACTGCTAAATCACAACCACTATGAATCTATCTAGTTAATCAAGTGAATTGAATTTTTGGTTTCATTTCTTAGCACTCACATGACCAGATTATGCACACCATGAGGCTAATACTAATCAGCCACTTTGGCAGCCTCTATCAAAAGCTGTGACTGAATGAAGGTAGTGTTTGGATTGCTTTCTGTAAGTAACTGTGTTGATCATTGCTTTTGTAGCAATGAAACCATCAAAGTTGGATCAATTGTTTCCTAGTAAACAAAGTTAAAACAATATGTTGCTGTAATCACAAATTGTACCAAAAGCAGTACCAGTTTTCTCTGTGGTTTCCAGCTTGTGTGGCTAACTTACAGGTCCAGTCACGGACATGCAATCACTGAGCACAGCAAACCTAGAATTTATTTACACTAAAATGTTTTTTTGAGGTTGGTATAAAAGTAGTATGTATCATTCAAGTGGGAGTCCTTGAAGTATAACAACTATGCTGTTTCAGTGGCAGCTACTCAACAATTCCCAACTGTGCTTAATCTTGTCAACTATTAATATAATAAGCATTATGCTACTGACACAGTTGTACTAGTGAAAGTAAAGACAAGGTCTTAATTTGTGATCTGAAAAGAATTCTGAAGGGTTTTTTTTGCCTTTTGTCATTCAGAATACATCTGTAAGTACATGTATTTCCTCACTTTTCACTACGTTCAGTAGAGAGTAAACCTACACTGAGAATTGTTCACTGTACCTGATTTTTTCCCAAGTTATAAATAAACGTAGTTTGTAAACTATAGAATCCTCAACTGCTGCATATGATACAGCCACTCATATATTGATTGCCAGAGTGCAAGAGGAAAATACTGCTAATAATTTTTAATTGTTATTAAACCTTCTCCAAATAAGCATTAAGCATGAATCTTCACAGCATATGAAGTCAGATGTGTGACTTTATTAATCTTAGTTAATAAGGAAACCATAACATAAAATAGTTGTTTATACAAGGCGACAAGAAAAGACACTGAGCTAGAACATGGAGATCTGATTGGTTAGGAACATTCCTTTTTTGTTACTATTCATAATATTTCTTCTCCTAAGACTGTGTCTCTTGCTTTTTCACAGCCCTGTAGAACTTCCTGATGAACAAGGGTCTGTGAGTCCTCACAAGGATCTGTTTTTCCCAGATTCTCATAGTGAAGATCCATACCATGGCCCTGATTTGCCAGTTTCAGCCATTGCTGGACTGGTAGGAGATGAAGCAGAAACATTCGTGGTAGTTATTGGGTTTTTTCCTTTTCACTATTCCAAGCCATTGTACTTTTTATGCAAATAGGTGTTAATAAATTAATAGTTCTAATGTTTGTTAAATAGGTACAACTGCGTAAATAGATCTGTTTTCTCAACAATATTGTTGAAATCCATTTTGAAGGAGGCTGAGAAAGCAGCTGCTGCTGCTGCTGCATACTGCAGCACAATGGTGAGATTTCTGACACAGGTCCTAGCACAGTAATATATCTGTGCAGTGGAGGTATGAATCTGTTGCAGAAGCAGCATAAAGTGTGTCAGTATTTAACTATGCCCAAGCTAATATGACCTGCTGAAACCTTGAAAACCTATTCCCACACTAAACTGACAGTAACCTTCATGTATCCTTACTTCTCTTTGGGATTGCTTTCTTTTTGACCTTGAAAATATCTCAAGCTATGGAGACATTGAAGGCTTTATTCCAGACAGCAACCTCTGCTTCTGAAATACATTCCCATACCACTGTCAGTGCTGGACCTGGCCATTTGTCTCAGTTGTATTTGATCAGTTACTTTTAGCCTCTCTTGAGATGCTTCTTTTGAGAGGCTTCAGAGATGTTCTCTTTTTGTTTGAAATTTACTTTCACCTGACTGCCAACTAGAAGCGTGAAAACATTTAACTTGCAAGTCTTGGATTCTCTTGTCAGATTGAGACCATCAGTTTCTCTCTGGTGGGTTGTAATATATATGAGACACCAAAACTAGGATGCAGAAGATCATACTGGCATTATACTATATCTTCTCAACAGACAAATGGGAGTTCTGTATTATCAGATTAGTGGACCACAGGTTTCTGCCATAAACTTTTCTTATAAAGCATAATCAAAAACTCAAACCAAGGAATGATGCTTTCCTGACCTCATCCTCTTTTCATAGCCTCATGCTTTCAGAATTGCAGAGGTTTTTAACTATGCAGCTTGTTTCCCTTGGTTTCCAGGAAGATCAAGAACTATAAAAAATATCCTTTACTGATTCTGATTACATGTGAACTGCTTGTATTTGATATCACTTAGAACATGAAGATAATACATGCTCATCGGGGGCATTGCCTTTTTCTTCTGCCTTACTGACTCTTAGAATACGTTGCAGATGTTGAACTGCAAAACCCACTTTGTTCTTTAGCCTGTAAAGTGAATTCTGAGAAGTACTGAGGAACAAAAGCAGCTCCTATATTAGGTCTGTGAGGCTGAATAGAATTTGTCCTTGAATGGATGGCGTTTCATTCGGAAATGGTAAGTTCTTATGCTTGAACTTGCAGAACCATGTCATGAATTTTTCCACATGGAAAAGTTTGTGCTTTCAACCGTACTAGATACCTCTATAGGGTCTTTGCATTCCCAACTGCCTTCAGAAAAACCTGGACTTCTTTTTAGCACCTTCGAGGTGGTTATGTTCCTCTGATGCATATTTCTGGACTGAAAGTAGATTGTTCTACTAGTGTTTGATGAAGATTTATTTCAAAGTATATGGTAAAATTTTGATAGTTATTTACTGTCCAAATTTTCTAGATGGGTGTGTTTTGGTTGTGAATATTGACAAGGTAATGAACATCAGGTCATTTAGAAATTAAAGTCTTTTTGCAGAAATACAAGCTTGTGATGGTGGTATGTTGTTTCCTGTGTACTAAATTGTGATGTGCTACACCCACAGATTAGCAAAGGGAGGAAATCAGTCTGTTTCTGGCATGTTCTTACGTTGTTCCAGACTATGGCAGCTGAGTAATTTTTGCAGGACTTGAATTTGTTGTGCCTTGCAGCACTAATTCTCCTCTCCACGCATGCCTGTGCACATATACTCCCTCTCTAACCTAGCAGGAAAAACACTACTAGATCTGGTAACCCCCAAGGCTGTGGGGAAATCACTGCATATGTCCTGTCAGGTTAAGCACCCCCTTCCAACACCCCCGCATTGAATACAAGGTTTTGGCAAAGCAATTCCTGCGTATCAGAATATAGCTGACAGGGAAGATACTTCTTTGAAATATTTTTTTTATCAAGAGCCTTGTGTTGAAAACTATGCAGCGGCTTGTAGAGAGATTGAAATGAGTGGACTTGCTGAGTTTCTCAGGTAGCCAGAGATCTTCAGATGGCAGTTGCTGTGATGGACCAGACTGCCCAAAACAGAGATGCTGCAACCACCATTCTTTACTGTCTTTATAAACTGACAGGCTGCTGTGGCAGATGTATCACTGGCTACTGTCACTGATGATTTTTGTACCACTACAAATGTTCATGAGCCTCAAATCTGTTTCTTGACATTTGTAAATCCCTTGGAGTTTTTTTCCTCTCTACTATCATCATGCTTTTTCAATTAGTAAGAGACAAACTGCTTCTCCTGTGGTGGTTAATGAGGTGTGTTCAGTTGAATGTAGTGGGAATAGTATCATAGCCTGAAGAAGCTCTGCCTGTCTCCACAGAATTCCACAGAAGGAGTTTGGTTTTTTACCACTAAATCGGAGTCGGTTGTGATCAATGTTTTTCACGTGGATGTAAGCATCCAGAGTGGGCAGCCATTTATTTAGGCTATTATTTAAAGGAGTCGTCCTTGACCTGTAGTCCATGGCCCTTGGAGGCTGTAGCCTAAGGAATGTGAGAGGCAAGTAAGCAAAGCCAAGTGTGCTGGTTTGCTCTTGGGAATGTGTCAGTGTTCCATACTCTAGAACCAGATACTGAAGCTGGATATGTACCCAAGTGTAACCACAATGGGGCAGCAGAGGGAAAGGAATTGAAATATCCTACAGCTTTCCATCCTTTTCTTGCATTAGATTGATTTAATTTTGTTGCTGTATCTCTTAAATTTCGGACCTGAGTTTTTTGAATCTGCTTTACCATGACAAGCCCCCTTGAATCCACTTCATCTCTAGCACCAGTTTCAAAATTCCACTGTCTTTTTATAAAATGTTTTATAGAATGGTAAGGGGTTTGAAGAAACAAGATCCATCATGGATTTTTTTTGCCCTGAAGAGATACTACTCAAAAGGGAGAGAAGTAAAAAAAAAAAAAAAAAATGGTATTATCATCATTTTTATTATTACGCACCAGTGCACAGTTCAGGAAGCAACCTGGTTTGGGATTTACATAATCTCATCCTAAGATTATCATATTTTACCTAGTTTATGTGTAAAGACAGTCATGACAGCAGGGGCAAAGAAACAGTACAGTTGTGTTTACACAGGAAGCTTCTGTTTTGCAGAAGCTCAGTTATAACCTTCCCAAAGATTTGTGATGTTCAAGCCTCATAAAATCAGTGAGAATGCCTATATTAAATGTTTCTCTGGGTGATGTAAAGCCCTATTTGCTATAGATTTAGTACTGTTAGTCCTGTTTGATTTATAAATTAAATATTAATATAACTTATTTCTGTAACATTTTCCCCTGAGAATCTAGAAATGCTTTGTAAGCATAAATAGAGAGTAAGTTACTTACCCAGAACCATATAGCAAGTCCTTGGCATATTTTACTAAAGAAATCTAGGTACTTATGAATCTCTGTTCTATGTTTTCATCCCAAGTCCATCCATATTTTCTCTTTTTATAGAAGCTTTAGTGAGACAGCAGGTGTTTTATAGAATTATAGACTCTTCTTTTTTTCCATCCATCATATTGTTTAGTGTTCCTTACCACTTCTGCTCACATGTATCATGCTTTGAATTCTCTCTTTTAAATGTTCTCCCAGGGTTTTCTCATGTTTTGTTCCCCTCCCTGAATTCTCTTTAATCTGGTTCTTTTTATCACAGTATTTATATGACCTCTATTACTGTTGTATCTGAACAGGTCACTCACTGTCTTTAATAATATTCAGTGGAGAAGTTCTGTTCCTCCTGTTTTATGGATGATGGATTTATGAGAGTTATTTTACCAAAATGAAATTCAAGGCACATGGGAAGTCTGTGTCAGGGATATTGCTAGCACTAATTTGCAGATGACACAAAGGTTGACAAAACTGTTTTACAGAGAAATTTGGATTATATGAGAAGATAAACTATTCAAACAAAATGTGTGTTAGTACTGCCAAGTATGCAAGAACCACATGCTCACGTTATGGCTACAAAGTGGAAGAATATCCTGAAAAGCAGTTTGAAAAACATTTGTCAGGGTGAGGTCATAGTGAGTAACCATATAAATTTGGGCTTCCAGTGCCCTTCTGTCATTTAAAAATAATTCTAGGGCTCAATGTTTTGAATTTTATCATCATTTTATCATTAAAAATTTGGGAGATGATCTGTTATGGTGGGTCAATATCTTTGTGAGGATAAGAAAGATACCACAGGGATTTCCAAGGTAGAGGACAAAACTAACAGATGTAAGTGCTGGAGAATAAATCCAGATAAATGTAAATTAAAAAATATATAGTTTTTCACTGAAAATATAATTCATCACTTAAACAAGCTTCTCGGGAGTGAAGTGAGTTCACCACTATCTCTAGACATATCCTTTTCTGGAGAATGTTCTTGTTTCTCCAGTTACTGCCTTCAGTGAAAGGATGACTGAATAAAATAAGGCTGATGTTATACAAGTGGTCAGACTCTATGAGGTAATGATCTTTTATGTCTTTTGGCCTTGAGATGTATGTAACTGGTTCCACAGATATTTGTCAGTTGTTGATTGAACTTGTTTATTTTTATGCTGAAGCCTAGAAATTTTGTCAAGACTTCAGTGCACCCCACTGCTCACTGCTGGACTGCAGGCTCCAAAATATACATGGGCTGTAAAGAAGGATACATTTTGGCAATGGATGCTGAGAAACACAGTGTTTCTGTTCTTCAACAAAAACTTCTACCTGGTAAGAAACAGCCGTGTCTGTTTTATTCAAATTGGGAGGGAAGTGGATAGGTAAAAGCTTTTTCTGCTTTCTTCTCTTCTGCTATTGTGCACCTTACAGAAAATGTAAAGTTATATTCTAGAATCCTATTTTTTTTATTAGTATGGTAAACAGTTGAGAATGGTTTTTTAGGTTCTATGTGTGTTTCTTTAGCACCCAATAATTGGCTTTCATTTTCCTGAAATACGAAAGAAAAAATACCTCTAAATACATCCAAATTGACAAAATATTCCAGGAGCCCAGATCTTATTAACCAGCCCTGCTAGATTAACATTAAACTATTAATATACCAGCTGGACAGAGTCTTTTTACTATTAGTTCAGTACCAAATATTTATTTTATTTTGCATTAAATATTGGATTGTCTTCATTTGCTACGTTAGATAATGTTAGAACTGATCTTTGAGGACTCATGATGAGTCTTCAAGCAACAGAAGCCAAGTTAAAGTAATGATGTTGCTTAATAGGAAGTAGGAAGCATAGAGAGTGATCAGAAGATGTCTTTGGCTTCAAAGAAAGAAATCTGCTTTTAATTTATTCTAGAATGGGAAGTCCTCTGATTGATTGCAACTTGCCAAGGCGATTTGCCTGCCCTGTATGTGTTCCCACCTGTCTTTTCATGGGGACCTTTGACAGGGTAGTGACTGACTAAAGGTTTCCAGCAAGGGAAGTGCATTTCATGTGTTCTTTTTTTCTGGGAATCATCTGCTACATGCCAATACCCTTCTGTGCCCCTTCTGAGGGCTCTCAGGATGGAGGATGCTGAGACACAGCAGCATAAGTGATTCAGCAGTGACAACCTGTACCCCATCATCCTCTGAAGTGTGGAAGGTGTCAGTCCTACCATGCACGTGAAGTTCACTGGTTTGGTCAGGCATGAGAGGAGTACTGGAATGTGCTTCTCCCTAGCACTACTGCTGTTGTAGACCAGCACAGAGCTGTTTCTCTAACAAATGATGAATTTGTGTTAATAGACAGGCTGGTGATAATCTTATTTTCTTCTTTTGCCACGGAATTCATGATTTTTTGAGCTTCAGCAAGTACCCCTGACTTTCAGTTTTGATAGTTAACACCGAAATGGAAAGCTGCTCTTAAAAAACCCAACAAACCTGCATTATTTCTTTTTTTTAAACTACCAGTGCTTTAATTGTAGCTAATAAGAGCTGGAATTCATCAAAAAATAAAAAGCTGAGGTGTGACTGGAAATGTTTTTGCCAGCTGAGTAGAAGGCAACAAGAATATTTGCCATTTGGGCTTTTTCTTGGCCTGTATATTCTTCTTTGAGTCCTGTCCTAAAACTGTATAACAAAATGTTCTATATTTATATTAGACTGAAGCATCTGCTTTATGAACGTTAAACACACTGCACTCTATATCTATTTAGCAGAATGCTGAAGTGTATGTCCAGCTTTAAGCAGATACTGAATTCCTGCTATGGTGTTGCAACAGAATCATAAGCAGCCACAGCACTTCACTTGGGTATTTTTTCCAGACTGGCTGAAGTTTCCTTTGTGAGGATATCAAGTTAAAAAAATAATCGTTGTTAGAAGTAACAATATGAGAAGAGCTTAGCACTAGAAGAAAGACAAATCTGCACCTGTACCACTCTATGCTATCTCCCCTTCACAGCTGTGAGGTGAATCACAGAACTGTGCCTGCTCAGTTGCACAGATAACAGAAATGGTGGATATTGGGGAAGAATGCACATTTTTTATTTAGTATACTGATCCTGGCCTTTTGTTCAGTAGAGTGGAATACAACTGACTTTTATTGCACTACTGACATATAATAAACAAGGCTGACATTATAAATTGTTTTCTTTTGTGCAGGGTGCATGCATAAAATGTTGGATGTGGTGTCATATATGCACAGACAAGTACAGAAAAAGAAAGGTTCAAATGTTCATGTTCAAATCAAGCTAATAGATTTTTAGGCAGAACCACTGATGTCTGGGAGTAATAATACATGAGTACAGCTGGAAGCCACTGGTTAGAAAAACTCTCTCACACTGACCTCTGTGTGGCACATTGTTCGCAATCTTGTGTCTGTTTACATGACAAAAGATTCATAGCTTTTGTGCTAATAGACAGCCAAATTAATAGGCTTGGGAGAAACAGTAACAGTGGAATAATTTCTGTTCATTCTAATTGAAATTGGAATAAGTGATGCTAGAATAGGATCCCTACTGCTTAGTTTTAGCAACGTTTTTTAGAACTGCAGTCACTTGTAATTTATTGGAGTTAGGATTTAGGGTGTCGTGTCAAACCCTTTGATTTGGGCTCCACTGTACAAAAAAAGATATTCACAGAATGGAGGAAGTTCAGCACATTCCCACAAAGACTATTGCAGAGTCTTAGTACATGACATACAAAGATGGCCTAAGAGAACTATGTTTGTTCAGCCTGGAGAAAAGAAATGAGGAATTTTACTATTGCTTTACCTATCCAATGTAAGGTTACAGAGAAGATATAACCAGACAGGTAAAGGATGCAGTTTGCATCAAAAGATGGGTAGATATTAGGAAATAAATACTTTTGAAGTGAAGGTAGTCAGACATTGGGACAAGTTGCCCAGAGAAGATATGGAATTTCCATTTTTGGGTGTATTCCATTTTTTGGGTATATGACTCTGGACAACATGATCCAACTTTGAACTTGGTTCTGAGTTTGAAGTCGGCTCCGTGCTGAGCTGGAGGTTGGATCAGAGGACTTCTAGGATCCCTTCCAACCTAAATGACTCTATGATTCTGTTATTGACAAATTTTCATGTGGCTATTTAGCAACCTTTACAAAATCAAATGATTTCTCAAATTAATTTCTAGTTCATCAGACCACAATAGTACCATCACTTCAGATTATGTATAGCAACTTTCTCCTTCACTACAACAGCAAAAATTCCAAAGAATAGGTAGCCCATGGAGCCTTTTTACTCACCAATAGCACATCAGCCCAGATTTGAAGTTGAGACACGTTGGTGCAATAAATTAAATTTCATATTTTATGTTGGTTTTGTGCTTTCAGGTGACAAAGCAAAGGATCTGCAAAATCCAGTGTTATTTGCCATGGCATTTTGTAATGAGGGACTATATGCAGCTGGAAGTGTAAGGCATCCTTTGTGCTTTTAACTTACTCCTATTGTGTGAAAATCAAAAAAACATTCAGATGGAGTATATTTGCAGAGTTCACCACAAAAATAGGAGTTAGAAAAAAGTGAAAGGCTGCAGAACTATTGAGGTCTTCTCTGGTGTTGTCTGTATTTTCTTTGTTAAGACTTGAGACAGGGAAGCAGGATGTGAAAAGATTCCGGTTTTGTAGTCAAAGAAGCAACAAGAGAGGATAATCCTGTTTTTAACAAAAGATTAAGAATATTGTAGAGGAACAAAAAATAAGGATGGAGAATAAATAGGAAAGAAGAGAAAATGGCCAGGAGAACTGCCAAATTGTTTTGTGCAAAATCTAACTCAATATCTAACCCAATCTGGCAATGCAGTACATTACTGCTTAAGACTGGGACAAATTCTTATACTGTCTCAAAAAGAGCAATATTGTAAGTATTAACTGATGAGAGAGTCTGTTGTTATCAAACATGGACTGTTACTAAGAATTATATTGAAGAACACCCTCATTTTCAGTAGATTTCAATAGATTTACTATCCAGGGTTAATTCCTTTGAATTTAAGCCTAGTAAAGACAAACTGGACCATTATTGATAGGATACAGTTGAACACTGCTACTTTAGAGCTTTTCAGTTCTTGCAGTTCAGTTTGCCACATAGTATAAATGACATAGCCCTCACGTGGATTTGTACTTTTCTGCACAGGGAGGCATTTTGTTCTCTTATCACATCAAAGATCTCCAGTATGAGATTAAAATCTGCACTGATATCTCACAACCCATATCCAGCCTCATATTCTCTCCTGATTACACCATTCTTCTGCTTGTCACTAACCAGGTATAGCATTTGAGGTAACAGCACTACATAATGAGATGCTCCTGTGATTCTGTATGTGTATGCTGATACTATTAGAATGACACGTCTAATGTAATCACACAAGCCAACAAATTATACCAGAGGTGATGGTAGTCCATTCTGTGTTTTTACTGAAAGGGTGAAAAGACTTTTAATGAAGCACAGAACAATTGTCTCCTACAGATGGTGGAATATAAAGTACCTAAAGTTGAGATTTCCCAGCAGAAATACTTGTGTGTGTACAGGGGAGTACCTGTTCAGAATCTCCTGTGTGTCCAGGTCATGGGGAGCTTACTGAGCATGAACTCTAGGCTTGATGTGTATCTGCAAAGGAACAAATATGTAGCTTGAGTACATCAGACCTGCTGTGATTCTGCAGTGGAGTTGTTCCACATGTACCTGAAGTTGTCTGGCAGCCCTAGCCAAGATCCTTCTCTGACCAACCTGATGTCCAGAAATCTTCCTCAAAGGTCCCAAATTCCACCTTAAGTCATCTAAATTGTCATTTTTTTAAACTCTTAAAATGTTTTTATAGTGTGTGCATGAGTCAGAAGGTTCTGTGTCCAGGACAGCAGTACAATGGTAACTTTGGTCACACGCTCTCTCAGACTTCATTCTTCTTTTGTAAAATGAGTAGAGAAGTTCTAAAATCAATATTAGTTGTGTCAATATTTGTTATGAATTGTTTATAAGAGGCTTTGAGATATTTAGATCAAAACATCTCTTAAAGCTTAATATTTATGATTTTTGTTTTGTGCTGTTTTAGAATATTTATTAATTTCTGAAATAACATGAAATTGGATGGTTTAAAAGCAATTTTGAGAAACAAAGCTTGTTGAAAATGTGACTAGCTGGATCTCTCTAAAATGAGCTAACATCATCTTCAGCTAGCATAAATTAATATAATCCACTAAATTCAAATTAATCCTACTGGATACTTTTTACATCCATTTAGAGGCTGGTGAAGGGACTCAAGCACAAGTGCTGTGAGGAGAGGCTGAGGGAGTTGGAGTTGTTTAGCCTGGAGAAGAGGAGGCTCTGGGGAGACCTTATCACCTCTACAACTCCCTGACAGGAGGTTGTAGTCAGGTGGGGGTTGGCCTCCTCTCCCAGGCAACCAGCAGGAGGACAAGGGGGCACAGACTCAAGCTCTGCCAGGGGAGGTTTAGGTTGGGTATTAGGAAGAGATTTTTTATGGACAGAGTAATCAGGCATTGGAATGTGCTGCCGAGGGAGGTGGTGGATTCACCATCCCTGGAGGTTTTCAAAATGAGACTGGATGTGGCACTTAGTACCATGGTCTAGTAATGACAGTAGGGTTGGACTTGATGATCTTGGAGGTCTTTTCCAACCCTGTTGATTCTATGATTCTATGAAATATAAAACTTCAAAGAGGGAAGCTCAGAAAGATGGGTATTTTTTCTTGAAGTCTTCCAAAGCTTTTAATGCAAAGTTTCTTAGCCCAGTGGTGGATTATTTATCTTTATTTGTTAGGGGACAGTCTATAGTTACAAACCTGCCCAGACTGGAGAAGCTGTCAAAATCTTGGACACATGCAGCAGTTGTTTTCTGGCAGCTGATTTTCTTACTCCAGGGAACGAGTACTGTGTGGTAAGAAAATGTATTAGTTTCTTCTATAGAATAGTGGCCATTTTCAGGTAACCAATATGTTGCTAAGGCACAAAATTAAAAGCCTTGCACAAACTGGGACTGTTCTGATATTTGTTACAGCTGTGTAACTTCTCATTGAGGAAGTAAATGGCATTAATTCGGGTATAGCCTATAAAATAGTCAGAACTTGCCCTAGAATGTAGGTTTGATAATTTACAGATTGCTAAAATGTTGTATTGGTTCTGCAGCTGATTTGTGTGACTTAACTATTGTTTGGGAACAAAGCTGAGCAAAAGGTGATTTAATTCAGAGAATTGATTTTGGAACAAGAAAGATCTTTTCAGCTTTCTGCACAAATTGAAACATCCTGAGAGATACCTCCCTTCTGGGTCTAGGGACAAAGAAGGCCTTACTCATGCATCTGTCCATGAATTCTGGGAAATTCCTTGCTTTTCTCCTATGCCTTTAACTGCTGCAAGACATATATTTTAGCCAGCAATTCATTTCCAGGCCATGAATTCTTCAAGTAGCCAGACTAGGAAACCTGGGAACTTAGTCAATTCATTTTGCTGAATATCTTTGTTTGCCATTAGCATGGAAATGGTAAATTTTACCTGACTTTGAGTAATGTGAGGGCTGAATGATCTCTAGCTTTACTTTACTGTGAAATTAAAAAATTGCCAGGATATAAGGCCTCAAGTAGTACCATTATGATATTTTTCATGTGAGAAAACAAGACCTCTCCTCAAGCCCTTTCTTATGCAAAGAAAATTATAAGCAGGTGTTTCTACTGCTGGGAGAGTGGTGGGAGTGCTAATATTGATCAAGCTTACATGTGTTGCCCTAAATTGTCTCACTATGCTTAAAGACCATTCCTGCAGTTGCAGAAATTCACAAAAATTATTATATGTTTTCCTTAGGCAGGTGTACCTTGCAGCAGCTGCACTTGTAGGAAAACCTAAATAATCTTAACTGAGTCTAGTAACTCTTGATCTGCTGTGCTCAGAGATTAGTTGTATTCTATAGAAGATCACTAACCAGACTAATTGGTTATTTCATCCTGTTTTGTCTATGTTTTTCTCTGTTCAACAGTCTGTAACAATTTCAGGTGAAGTACAAGTTTGGTTCCTGGAAGATGGAACTTGCCTCAGCAAGCTGAACCTTGAAACTGAGGTACAGGAGATTATATCGTGACTGATACTTAACATTTTCTGTAATATTTTTCAGTCAGTAGTATAATATTCCACAGATTTGGATCCATCAATGTTGAGGAAAGCTCAGTAATGTCTTTGAACAACCCATGAATGAGATTTAAAAAATATTATCTTTCAGAATGTTTCCTTGAACTCATCATGTGTTTAACTTGACCGTAAACCAGAGGAAACATTTCAAATGAATGCCCTAATGATTTAAGCACATATTTGTAAATAACATCTACTTTCTTGTTATATTACTTTATTTTTTAACGATTAAAAGTTTCGAGAGTATAAAAACTAAAAGCCTTGACTGATTAAAAAAAAGGCCCTAAGAATTGAGTTGATAAAAGTATTTCAGACTGTTAATGCTTTGTCCTGATTGATGCATTCAAACCTGAAATCTGAGATAGTAAGAAAAAATTCCCCTTCTGTAGCAGCTCTACACATAACAGTGCACTCACTCTTTTATTTAGGTTGAACTTCTTTCACTTAAAATCTGGATAATGGATAGAATATGGATTATTTTCCTGAAAAGAACAGAATTAAGCTTTTGATATTTAGATACAGAGCATAGGTAAAGTTCCCATGATGTCTCTTGTTTGTTAAAAAAAGTAGTTTTTAGATAAATCACTTAGGGTTTCTTCAAATTTTAGGAACCTTTAAATAGCAAAAGAAATTGCATCCTAACACATAGGATAATATATCCTATATGGAACTGTTATATGTCTTTTACTTCTCAACTAGGCAACTGCTATGGCTTGCTGTCCCTCTTCCAGCAGTGTTGCTGTAGGGACTGAAAGAGGTCAAATCTATTTCCTTGATGTTACCAAAGTTGAAGGTCCACGGGTTGTTCACAGAATTTTTCTTTCCACATTTCCAGTGCTGTCTTTGCAGTAAGTATTTAGTAACAAGGGTAGGAATATTGTCAGTTTATTGCCTGAGTAATGCTGTTAGTTGAACAAAAAAAGTATGTTTTTATTCCAATAATAACAAAGTAAAGTATTTTAACAGCTTCTGTTATTCTCCAACATATTCTGAACTGCTTGCAATGGGAGTAGTAGCAGAATTTATATGAGAGAAATATAATAAACATGCATTTTAAGAAGATTTACTTGAGCACTGAAGACACTGATGCATAAGATCCTTTCTAAAAGAAATTATGCACAATTACATGTATCTTACTTTTAGAGGGTTATTTCTCACAGAATATAAATTTTAGGGCTTGTGCAGTTAGGTTTAAGCATTTTGGTCATCTCTTCTTACATGATGGATTTTTGTTACCATTGTTAATTATTCAGTTGCTTAAAGTTCTGGAATTTACCAGTCCCCTTGTAATTAGCTCTAGTGATCTAAAAGGCTTTTTTCTTTTTGGTTGGGGATTTTAACTTTGATATAAATCTGGCAGTTACTTGGAGACTCAGGTGTATCTCTTTGCACAGATACCTAAGATGAAACTTTTAAAAGAGATACAGAAAGCAACTTATTCAAAGTCAAATCAATGCAAAGACATTTCTATTCAAAATAATGTCAAAATCTGTACAGTAGTTTCATTTTTTAAAACATGAACTGAAAAGAAAGATTTAACAAAGTTGTTGACAGATTGCTATGGAGTATGATTTGCTTTAGACTGACCACCCACTCAGCCAGAATTGCACTGACTGCACTGGGCTTTATATCAGGCCCTAATCCTGTAAACCTAGGACCTGAAATTTCAGTTGTGTTTATGCTCTCAAGGAATTCAGCAAGTTATGGCAGTGAAATTATTTGACTCTTTTGATTTACAGTATTGAACTGATTTCTACTTGGATTTATCTTTTCCCTAGTTATGATCAGTGTGGTCAGTTCCTCATCGTTAGAGCTACAGAAGGACATATCTTTATTCTAGATGCTCGGCCATCAAAATTATTCCAAGTTCTTGGATATATAGGTAATATATGCAACAACATTCATTACATTGTGTTTTGACTTTTTGTTGCATTTTATGTATACTTACTGGTCAGACTAAGCTGTTCTCCTTCGCTCTATTTACTTTCTTGGAGAACTAAACATATTCTTCCCAATTGTTTTGTCCAGGCCAGTCTTTTTTTTCATTTTTCCTCTGTAATTTTAGTTACCAAATGTACCAATATTACCTTTCTTCCAGAGCATGTATAAGTCACAAGGGAAAGAATGGATTAGCTGACCAACTGATCACAGATCCAGCACAAAAGTAATAGAACTAAATACCTTTGTGAGAATTTAGACTAAAAGACTGTAGGTTATAACAGCTGTGTGCAATCTCCTGTTAAAAATTTCCACTGTGGACAGCTTTAACATGGGGACTGCTGAAATTGTCAGCTTTGCTGGTTGATAATGAAGAATAAAATATGATAGAATTGTAACTCAAAAAAATCTGAAATTTGTAAATTTATTTTTCCAGTAGCATTATTCTTACAGATCACATCTGTGAGCATAATTTTAAGTATAAAGGACATTATTTTATAATTTTAATTGGTTTGACAAGCAGAATATATCTCCTTAGATAATTTGCATGATTTGCATAATTAGCCTGATCATGTTCTCATTGTCTGGCTGACTTCTTATAGGAGGGTTTTTCTGTGTTTCATCTGCCAGTTCTCAGCAGACAGCCTCAAAATTGCTACAATTCAAGTTGTATGTGAACTCATAATAACACTCTGGTCCTTAGGGGTTCCCAGCACCCAGTGCCTCAAGCAGACTTGTGTAGATGCAGCACTACCTGAAACCAGGTTGAGGTGGTTGAGCTGAGATGTATTCTGAACAGGGATCTCCTTTTGTGTCATGATATGTTAGTAAACAGAATGTTCCCACTCTTCAGTAACAATTTCCATTGGTGTTCCCTTCCTGCTTCAGTGTTGGCAGATGAAGTGCTCAATCTTTCTGTAGTTTCTGACTTCAAGAATGACTTAGTGGAAGTGATGGCACTTCTTAATGTACCAGAGGTCCAACAAGCAAGACTGGAAATTTTTTGTCTCTCTTCAGCAATCGCAACAGGTAAGAATTGAAATTTAGACTATGTGATATTTTTCTAAGGCAATAAGCCTAGTGTCAGATTTTCTACGTACTTACAGTTAGTTTTTAAAAGGCCTTACAATTTACAAACTTTTCAAAAGTAGTTTTCAATGAAGTTGGTATTTTCTTCAAGTAGTCACTAATGCTGAACTTCTTTTTGTGCCTGTTTTTAGACATATAAAACGGGACTTGATTTTCAAAGTTGCTGAAAATCTACAGTTATTGCATCAGTCTTGATTTCAGGTGTCTCTTTAAAACTCGAATTAAGGATCCTAAAAGAATAAAATGCCCTTTAGAAGATGTGAACTTCAGCGTTTTAACAAATACCACCCAGGCTGTGTGTACCTTATGGCAGAGATGCCTAAAACAAGTACTAGATGAAGGCAATGATGACATGAACCTGCATGCAAACTAATTAGCACTGCTGACAATCCCCAAGCAGCAGGGTGTGTATGTATTGTCACATGACTGTGGTTAAACTGTTTCTAATACTTCTTGAGAGCTAGTAGAGCTACAGCTCTGCTTCACTGCGGTGTACTACATCAGCAAAGCCCAGAGAGTTGTGTTTAAGTATCTTAGTTTCCAGTCTCTTCCTGGAAAACTCACATCATGCTCACTCCTTGCTGAGAATTGTTTTCAAATTCCTTGATAGTCAAAGCACCTGCATTAGTGGTAGTGATGCCTCTTCCTCCCTGTTTCTTTTTCAATCTTTTAGAAAATTCTAAGTATGTGAATGAAAAAGGAATGCTTAATGCTAGTGCCCTTAAAAAGAAGCAGTATGATCTGGATTACCCTTTGAGCTCAGCAGTCAGATTGAAGGATAATATTGTGTATGGCTACTGTACCTGTGCACCTTTCATCTGTAAATACCATCTCTCTGAAGAGGTAATTCTCTGAAGCTGCTTTATTTTGGGTGGTGGTTAAATACTAGCACACAAAGGCTGTAAGTGAAGTGAATATAGCAGGATATTATCTTATAGAAATCCTCTCTCCACTAAAAATACCTGCTCCATCTATACTCATTGACTTTCATTCAGTATCCTACCACCTGCTGAGAAACCTGGCATAAGCAATCTCTTTGTGCTATTATACTGGGGTTTTTAACTCATACAGCTTGCAGGCACTTCACATGTAGCTTCCAAGCCAGAGCTGTGCTGTTGTGCAGTCTGCTGAGTAACCTGGATATCCAGCTGTTGAGCTGCAGAGCCCAGGACTCTTAAGATGCAACTGCAAATGCATCTAGTGATCTAAAAGGCTTTTTTTTGTTTGTTTGTTTGGGGATTTTGAACTTTAATATAAATATGGCAGTTATTTGGAGACTCAGGTGTATCTCTTTGCACAACTACCTAAGATGAAACTTTTAAAAGAGATACAGGCTGAACAAGAAGTGGCCAGGGTATGACAGAATGGAGGAACATTTTAAAACTATCAGTGAAAAGACAAAAAATGGTTAAAGAACACAGAGTTATCTCAAATGCCGCATGATGAAGCTGTGAAGGCTTCAGGAAGCCACTGTCATTGCCTGCTGAAGAGCTGCAGCTCATAGGTCCCTCTCAGTTTAAGGGGCAGGTCAAGCAAGAAGGTGAATTCAGCATTCCTCTGTGGCACGACCTGTCCTTTCTGAGCCAAGAAAATCCAGGCCCAAACATATTGAATATAGACCCTTTTGAAGAGATGAGAAGCAAATCAGCAGCACAGCAGTGGCACTGCTTCCTGGGCTCAGTAATCCAACATTTTACATTGCAATCCATGTGGTAACCCACAGAGCTCTCATTAGTCACCTCAAAATGGTATAGGTATTTCCATCATCTGAACTGCTGCTAACATGTTGTTTGTTTGGCAGAACATGTTGGAAGATACATCAGTATTTTTATCAGAAAAGAGGACTCCTAGCAAGCAGTTTGGGCCAGGTTTCCTGTGTTTATCACCCAACAGCCAGTGGCTGGCAGCAGCAGCAAAGGATGGTGTTTTGTTTATCTACCACACTGTTACTATGGTAGGTAGGTGCCTGGGCACAGGCTTTGGTTGGTTTACATGAGAAAGAGGTGTAAAAATTACTTTCCTTCACTGTAAACTTTTCTTCACTTGAGTATAAGTTGTTCCACAAAATCTGTGTTGAACATGAACCATCATAGCATTGTATAGGATGATTGTTTTTGTAATCAATGTGCACATGATCATATGAACTACTTACTTTCTTCTTCAGTAAATCTAAGAGTAGATAATTTTGCTACATTTTTTATCTCCTGCAAAATCAATATACTACAAACTTACCCCATCTGTAGTCATACCTTTTAAACTAATAATAAATCATAGTCTTTTATGTACGTTGTATTGCCATTTTGATTTGACTTTTATCTGAAAATAAACATGAACATATTTTAAAACCTTAAATATAAAAAGTAATTCGCAGATATATTCCACGACAAAAACTTATTTGCTGATACTGCTTCTATGACTTTTCTAGGATATACTTGCTCAAAAGCATTGCCACTCATATCAAGGAGGGGGAATCAGATCCATGGTATTTTCCCTGGATGGCAAATTCATCCTTGTTAGTGGTGAAAATGATGGTGCCCTGGTGTGTCTGAAATGGAAGTATGTATAAAATGGCAGACAGTATTGATGGTGTAAATTCTTGTATCCTGACAGATTAATTTTCACATCTACTTGTGATTCTAGACTTTCTTTGTCTCAAAGTAAGGAGAAAAACTGGATAGAAATAAACTCACTCCTCTCATGTTTAGAGGCAGTGTCCCTAGCTCAGGAAAGGTCTTGTACCTTGAGTATGGTTGCAGCACAAGATACAGGAGGATCTTCAGAGAAGTGTCATCCAATTCTAAACTCAAACTGAATTATTTGTAAAAATATTGAATAGGCATTTTAAAACAAGTTAATATGTGTTATAAAAGATATGTAATATATCATTTTCTGTAATACACTAAAAATACATGAGTTCTCTTTCTGTTTACTAGGAAGATAAAGGAAACTGAAGTTAATGAAGCTGCTTTTTACTATCAATCTCTTCTTGATATACTGAACCAGTCTACTTCAAATGAAAATGCAGTTTTAAAATCTATGGCAGAATGGCAGTTTGACCCAGAATCTACCTCAAAATCACCTCCAGAAGAGAAATTTAAGGTGTGTATTTGTATCGGGGGGAAATGTTTGATCATTATCCTAAAATTGTACGTAATAGAAACTGTCCTCAGAACAAACACTGATCCTCTTGTTTAAGTGGAATAATATCCCTGTGGATAAGCCGAATATGCTTAATTATTAATCTGTGGAAGAGCACTATCAAAGAAATGGAAAAGTTATGGGAAGATGACATTCATATCTTCAATTTTACTTGGCTTCCTCAGCCACAGAAAGCTCTGTGAAAGTCAGTTTCTCCTCATGTGAAGTTATTGTCACTCCCAGTGTGATGTTACTGCTATACATTGTGTTTCTGTTCAAATCAATCAAAATAGAGATTACAGAGATTAGTACAGTCAGCCCGTTTGAGTTGAAAGGCTTTGCATAATAGCAAGGGTTTGTGGGATCAAAGCTAGGGACTGGTTAGGGAACAAAAGTGTAACACACTGCAGTTTGGTGGTGGTGGTGGTGTTTCTAATGAGATTCCATTTTTTATTTCATTTCTGTCTCTTGTATTCTGCAAGTACCTCGGCTAGATGCTTATATTCTTAATTTCAAGAGTCACCACTGAAATTTTCCAGTGTAGAAGTGACAGAAGATGGAAACGTCACCAGTACCAATGATACGACATGGATAGGCCAGAAAATGCAGAAGGTCCTTTCGAAGAACAGGTGTTAATCAAAGCCAGAGTTCTCAAGAGTCATTAGTCATTTGGGGTGCCAAATTATATGCTGTAAAGGAATATGGTTTCTAAAGCTTTTCTTCACATTTGGAGCTCTCTTTAAGGCATTGCAATCTAGACTTCTAGAAATCCTAGGTGAAGGTTATAAACACATCAGAGAAGGTGCCTAGCACACAGGAGCATTAAAGGCCAAAAGACCACTACTCAAGGAGGAAACTAATAAAAAAACCTTGCCCAAAACCTGAGAAATTGTCTTCTTCAAGAAACTTATACGTTTTTATTCTAAATGTCAAAAAGTTGTACAGAGGATTATTGCCAGAAAGCAAGAAGATGCTCTCTTCTTCCCAAGAGCCAAAGTAACATATACTACAGTACAGATAAACAAATAACAAGGCATTAATTGCAAAACCCCTGAGGTTTATTTCAGGTTAAGGTTGAGGTGAATATGTTGCATAACTGAAGTTTTTTTATAAGCAAGAGTGCAAAGATCAGTACAGAGAGGAGATTTAGCACTCTGTGAGCTTAGAAAGTGCTATATTATAAATAATGTTAGTATACATTATTTCTTTCCCCAGAAATATGAATTTGCTAGGAGGTTCTTTCTGGTATGAGCCAGAGATGTGTATTTTGTCCAGTTTTTGATGTTCAGTGATAGCACAAAGCAAAATATCATTGCTTTCTGGGTGATCTCAGGAGTGGCTTTCCAAATTATGATGCAGTTCCACAAGTGGCTCAAATCAGTCTCAGACATACTGTCAATGAAGGTGAAGTCTTCTCCATCTTTCTCTCAGACATGTATTCCCATTTCTCGGGCACTCATGGCTTGGTGTCTACTTGGATTTTTTGACAAATGCATGTGACTGTGAATACACAAGTACCACATGATTATTAGTATCAGCTAGGGACAGGTGATGAGAAGCAAAGGTTAAAGGGTAACATTATGTCCTGGGTTGCTTTAGACTGCTCATTAATCTGACTTTTAGAGGATGCAGTCCATCCAATGTCAGAATGCTACACCCCTTCCTTTAATTCAGTCGCCGTCATCCTACTTAAAGTTGCAAACTTATTTTAGAAAGCAAGTTCCAGAGGTGCAGGCTAATTTCCCTGAGATGATTTGGCAAGACTGTAGGGGCAAAGAAAATTTCACAGCTTGCAGAATGAGTAACAGATGCTAGTTTACTTGTGTCTTTAAATATTCCACCGAAAATGTTTAGTGACAATGAAGAATCTAAGGATTAAAAAATTCTGGCTTTATGCCATTCAGCATGTCTCTAATCATTGCACTTGTAATTACTTCTTTCTTTAATATTTTCTTTCTTTCAAGCTCTATTGCTGTACAACCAGTTTACAATTTGACCTGGTTATACAATTTTTTTCTCTTGTGCAATTCTAAGTATCATCCTATTGAATTAGGATTGTCTGTTTCAGTTATTAATCCCTTTGGAGTTTTATTTTGTGTATAGATAATGTTCCTTTAGATTGTTTCAATATTATTTTATCTTCTTTTTTTGTCTTTCAACAATACATTTGTTGCATGTCAGATTGTAAAAGGTTTGATATGAGTTTGTTCATTAAAACCTGAATAAAACTATATGTAAAAGGTATAGGGCAAATATATTCAGAAAACTTTAGAGAAATATTCTAAGTAAAAGAATTTACTTAGTACTTAGAAAGGGGGGGAATGAAACAAAGAAGCTAAAAAAAAAAAGACTAATCAGGGATAGACTGGGAGTTTCTTACTAAGCAGCTGGCGCAGCTGGCGTC